GAACTCTTTGCACTATCTCTGCAATCTTCCTTTAAATTTAAAAGTATTCCAAAATAAAAGGCTTATTAAACAAAAATGTTGGTGCTGCCTCTGTTCCTCTTGGACCTCCACATTTCTATGAAGTCATGGCACACTGATCTGGTCTTAACACCGTTTTACCTGGGAGTTAAGTGTAGGGCAATTGTTCTGATTAGCATGTATGGGAGCACAAAGGTGTAGCTGGAAATCTTTTTTGGGTTCAATATATGAAGTTATAACCATATCCACCCCATTCCCAACCCTCTCAACACACCAGAGACATGCCTTTTTATTTAAAAAAAAAAACCAAAAAACTTTTAATTGGTTTACAAAGGAGCTACAGACTACATTGAAACTAATCTTTGTACAAAAAGACCAAAAAAAAAAAAAAAAAAAAAGCCCCAAAATACCCAGAGACAAAAGGCTGAAGAAGACACAAGAAAGAAAGGAAAAGGAAAAAGGAAAGAGCAGGAAGAAACCAAAAGACAAGAGATAAGCATCATACATACAGAATCAGAGGGGAAAAAGAACAAGATGAAAGAGCATTTAAAAGTACTTCCCCACACAGCCCTGGTGATAGTCGAATTGAAACCAACAACACAGCATGAGATTATTAAGTTTAAAAAGGCAACAGTGGTATGAAGACTGGTTATTGCCAGTGTTAAGAGAGAAATAAATTTGTTTTAGGCACCAGAGACTGGAGCAATGCCCCCCACCCCCCCCAAAAAAAGGATGACAGACTCAGGAATAGGAAGCAGGCCCTAGGGCAGCTGCCATCAATGTGTATAGAAGGGAACTCCTCAGATCAATCTCAGGATATTTTCCCCACCTTTCCCCAGTGTTTGAGCCCTAGATTCCAGGTGAGGGTTATGGGATGCCACTGGGAGAAAGGGGTGGTAAAAAATATGAAGACCTTCCCTGTCCACACTGTTCAATAGCAGTTGCTGGGAAATGGAGGGCTGAGCAGAAGCCCATTTCCCTGTGGAGAAGGCACAGTGTCTTTCCTGAAGGTAAGGCAGAGAAAATCACATACCACAGGAGAGATACCAAGTCATCACTACCTACAGTCCCAGCTTAATCCCATTTATGCTCCCCCCTCATTCTTAAGGAAGTTGAGGGGCAATCACCACACCTCTTCTCCCTTAGCAGATACAAGGAAAGACTGGAGTTGTTGATAATGAGGAAAGGGGAAAATGGGACAAAATACTCATTTCTCCCAAATGAACTTTGTGGAGGAAATCGAGGGAAGGAACGATTCCAGGGATGCCCTTTTCCCCTTTCCCAGCCTTCAATTCTAAGACAAAATGAGCCAAATGTAGGAGAGGGAGTAGGAATTTCAGTTTAAGGCTGCTTAATGTCCTGGGGTGGGGGTGGGGGGGAGTGTTTAGAGAAGGCAGACAAAGAAAAGAAACAGGTCAACCTCAAAGCTGGTCTGCTCATCCTCCTAGAAGAGGTCTGTACCCCAGGAAGAGAGCTAAGAGGCACCAGAGAGCACAAGCTCCCAGACAAAAGTAAAGCAACCTGCCCATATTTTATCAGCAGTTTTCAAAAGCAGTTTTCCGGGGTTGGAGAAATGCCATATCCTCCTCCCTTCTCCCTAAGCTACTGCTGCCACCTTTCATCCTTGTACTTAAGTTGCTGGCTCTCTTCTAAGGGAGATGAAACTCTTAGATTTCACATTTCTCTCTCCCAACCCCAAGAGGCTACCCGGATTTAAATAGGGGGAAGGAGAGCTATGCAAAGGGCACCTCACTGGAGGCAGCTAGACTATCATTTCCTTGGTACCTGGATATCAAAAACTCATTTGATCTGATCCCAAGGTCCAAAAGGCATCAGGGTACTTACAATAGAATGAAAACTTTAAGCAAGTAGCACCAGGGCTCCCCTAAAGCATAACGGGGGCTTGATTAATACCCTCAGAAGAACCCCTCAAAAAGTATATAAATTTATTGCGTCCTAGCAAAGACCTGCAGCTTCCAGTATTCACACAATGTGAAGATATTAATACAAAATATATTCTGAAAGTCAAACATCTGCAGTTCATAGTGCTTTCTTAGATTTGTTAAAAAAATACAATGCTTAGTTTCCTATATAGGATATACAAAAGCAAAAATATATATATATATATGTATATAGTAGAAATCAATCAATCAGCCATAGTAATTTACAGCTTTTGTCTCTAACCATCCCCCAATCATAATCTTTACCCCACACTGCGGTCTATACTTTCTGGGATCAAGTGTTCTATTTATTCTGAATCAGGCTGAGAATATCCATTAAATTTCATTCTGCATAGGTCCCTGAAGGAAGATGGGTGTGGATTGTTATTGCTCTGGGTAAAAAGTGAGAGTCAAATGATAAGCAGATGAAAGTGAATGGGCAACCTGAAAGGACAAAGGGATGAGTGCTATGATGTTACCACTCCTCTGGGCATCCCCTGCCCTGCAAGGTTTGATCATTAAAACAAAAAATTTAATAAAAAAGGAACTCGTGTAAAAATATTTAGAATCACCATGCCTGTCAGTTACATTAATTTCTGCTGGCCAAAAGTTCAGGGAAAGGAATTTTCAGCAATAAGCTCCTGACTCAAGGAATGTAGGCTCCTACTTCCTGTGGAAAAGTCTGAATGGCTCACTGCTGCTGGGAGACAAAAGCAGAAACAACTTCAGTTGTGGGGCCAAACAAGATACTGGTTCGGAGCTTCCTTGGTGAGAAGAAAATAGAGCAAGTGGAAAGAATTGGATATAAATTCACTCATAGTAATGCAAATGAAATGAGGTGGAGGGTAAACCAACATTCCATCCCAGAGAGAAACATCATCAAAATAATGTTCTAAAAGCATGTAGTTCTCAGCTTCATTAAGCTAGTTTAAATCTAATAATTTCATACTGGGGAAGATTCCATTTCCTGAAATGCTCTAGTAAAATACTGCAAACTCCAGTGAGTTATTCTGCCCCTTTCCTCCAAAAAGATGCCTATGTACATGATTATAGACATAAAACAACAGGTTCTGAGTTCTGCCTTTCAGGGAATAAAAAGTGGTATGTGGCTGGGCATGGATGACTTTTACTTTAGTATAAACAAAATTTTATCTGGGGAAAGTTCCTTGCAATGGTTCCTGAGCATTAAAAACAGTATTAAGTCTTCAGAGAAAGAACCAAATGGACTGAACTATTGTTTAGAACAAACAGTTATTGTATCTCAGGTTAACAATACAAACTTACCCAAACCCTAATTCGGATAGATTTTATATAAAATATATAGTGGAATCATAGCATCATCTATTTGTAGTCAAGGTAAAAATATTTATGAAAAGAACTAAGATTCTGCTATAGATGGTTTCACTTTCAAACACAAAAATAGTTTCTTCTTTTAAAAGTGCAGTAGAATATCCCCCATTCATAATTGTAACTATTTTATTAGCATAAGCAAAGAAATGACCTCAGGAACATACCCAGGTTTTAAAAAAGGTTTCTAGGTAGTGGGCCTGAAAGGCATTTTGATCTGAATTTGATTTTCCAACAATTTTAAATATAATTTCTCATCTGTGTGTAGATATATACAGGCACAAACACACATTCACACACAGTCATACACAAACACTTCACTATCAGATCAGGGTAATTTTTATTGCAGGTCTCTTTTAGTAATGGCTAACAGAAAACCTATCCCCAACCTAACAGATTACACACATACACACAGCCATTTCCACACTTCCTCACAGTGAAAAGCCCTCTGAAAAGATACCAGAAGGTCAAGAGAGACGATGTTTTAATGGCTGGGCCTTGAGGACAACTCTGGTTGCATTTAAATCTCAGTACCAAATGCACTGAGTTCCCTGCCGCTATAATTTTTGGATCAGTCTCTTCAGGAATCAGGCCATGAAGAAAGCAGATGGTTTCTCCCAATCTCTCCTATAAACCACAGTGGTAAGACAAGATTTCTTTTTGTTCTGGGCTACCATTCCCATGATCGTGTGCTTCCTTTTCCCTTAGGAACCACCCAAGGAAGAGTTAAGGGAAAAGATCAAAGAACCACTGCCTTGCCACTAGTACATGCTCTGGGAGTTCCACAGAATGGAAACCTGGAACAGATTTATTGCCTGATGCTCTTTAATAACATAATGGAAAAGAAACTACTGGGGACGTTCAAAAGAGGAAGTGTACTTCCTTTTAGAATGTGAACTCAGAAGTTTATGTGAAATCAAAGCTTACAGCCACCTTGGAAGACAGCTGTACAAAGTCCAAATACTCCACTAACTCCTTAACTGGACTACTATGAGTCATTTCCACTTTTGAGCACATCATTTTCCTATTAAAAGCCCCCACCTATTATTTGACCATCTTCTGATAGTTTATACAAACCCCAGATTATAACCTTCAAATGATCTCTTGTATAATTACATAGAAAGACTTCTGATTCTTGATGCTTAGAGCACCTGATAAAGAGAGGTGCCTTTGACTCTCCAGCACCAAGAAGGTGCCTGCGTCAGTAGTATTTTGAGCACTCTCTCCTCAGTTACTTTAAGCATTCATCCTGGGCTTCAAAGTTTCTCATTCTGCTGTTGCGACTAAGGACTTTAAAAGATTCACAGAAATGCCTCATCCAGGGATCACTACCAAAAACATGAAATTGATCAGGTGAGAGAAAGGGAGACAGAAAGGATTGAGTCAGGAAAGGAGTGCAAGAAGCTGATCCCAAATAAAAAGACAAAATTAAGGAAAAACATTATGTATGTATATATAAACTAAAAGCAGAGCATATGAATGCTTAATCTATGTGGGATGCCAAGACAACATCTATAGAAGCTTGATGTGTCACAAGGCTCAGCCATAAGGAAATAAGGCAATATAAAAAAAATGACCAAGGTATTTTGGTCACAGAATGGTCTCTTTTCTCCTCCCAGCCAACCCCTGCAAATGCATCTCTATATATCTTTTATATATATATTTATATATATATATATATAATATAGAATCTGATTTTGTTAAAAAGTATTTCAATGATCATATATATTTATCAAGGCATGATGGCTTTAGGAAAGGGGGGGAATCCATCATGAGGGAGCTGAGAAGGGAAACGCAGGGCAGAGAGGCTGGGGTAAGAAATGGAAGAAGAAACTGGGGTCAAACAAATGCTCATCAAAGGGTGGCACGCACAGAATTTTCACTAATATTTCCCACTTCAAGGAGGTACTGATATAGGTGAGTGACAGGACCCCATCTCTTCTCTTGTATCCCTCCCTCAATTCTTCCCACCACCATGCATTTTAATGCCTCATGGCTCTCTCTCCCACATGTCTCTTGGACCCAAGCTACCTTGCACCCCAGGGTTAATGGGTATGGCCCATATGTCTCTGGCCCCGGATGCCTGATCTCAGAAGCCATTGCCACTGATATTAATGGACTGCAGATCCGCCACCTGCATGACGTTTATGCCACTGTTGGCAAGACGGGCAATTCCCTCTGGACAGATGGCCTCCATGGTTACCATATTGGTGGTAATAAGGGCTGAAGAAGTGGCAGCACCACTGCCTTCTGAACCTGCCCCACTGTCCAGGGGCAAAGTGCCCACACTCAGGGCTACGCCTGTGCTTCCCTTCTTATTCTGGTGGGTCTTGATATGCTTTGACAGGTGGTCACTCCTCATGAAGCGCTTGGGACACTCAGGGCAGGCAAATTTCTTCTCACCTAAGTAAAAAAAGAGAAAGAAGATAGGAAACTAACATCTCAGGAATTAGGGGGTACCTTTTCCAATTAATGCTTTCAAACTTTATAAGGCAGCATATTAGGCCAGTTTTAGAAGGTGATAAAAGCAAGAAAAACCTGATGAGTATCTTTTTGGAAGAAGAGATAGGTAAGGACTGAGGAATAGCAGTTTCTGGCCATATATCTTCACACCACAAACCTATAAAGGAGAAAGTGTCTGTAGCCCTGCATTCTCAGCTTAAGTTCCAAGTTTCACTCTTCCTGGACAAGCTTAATTGCCCACCCCCTGAACCAAACATCCTGTGGGGAAAGGATACATAGACTGGCTTAAACCAATTATGGCCCATTCCTGTAACTGGGTTGGGGTAGGATCAATCCCACCCAAATCATGTAACTAAGAATATAGAGAGATTGTTTTCAAAATAAACATGGTGTTCTGGTACCAGGAAAAAGGGGAATAAATGAAAAAAGAAAATGAAGGTAGGTAGGGTTGAAAGGCAGGAATAGGAAAAAATGTATGGCAGGACAGACTAAAAAGAATAATGGGTCCGGGTGGTGTAGCTCAGTGGTTGAGCACCAAGAGGTCACCGGTTTGATTCCTAGTCAGGACACATGCCCAGGTTGTGGGCCAAATCCCCAGAGGGGCCATGCAGGAGGCAGCCAATCAATGTTTTCTCTTAATAATGTTTCCGTATCTCCCTCCCTCTCATTTTCTGTCTCTCTAAAATATCAATAAAAAAAAAAAAAAGAGTAATGGGATCCTCCAAAATTCTACTCAAAACGTAGCTCCTTCCTGCCTTTAAAAAAATTATTTATTTATTTATTCCTCACCTGAGAATATTTTCCTACTTATTATCAGATAGTGGGAGGGATGGAGAAGGAGAAACAGAGAGAAACATCAATGTGATAGAGCCACATCAACTGGTTGCCTCCCGCGTGCCTCCCAGGGCCAAGGACGAATCACAACCAAGGTATGTGCCCTTGACCAGAATTGAACCTGAGACTCATTGGTCCATGGGCTAACGCTCTAACCGCTGAGTCAAACCTGCCAGGCCGTCCCTCCCCCCACCTTTTTTAATTCAAAAAAATGTTTGCGCCCAGGCTGGTTTGACTCAGTGGTTAGAGTGTCAGCCCACGGATCAAAGAGTCACAGGTTCGATTCCGGTCAAGGGCACATACCTTGGTTGCAGTTTGGTCCCCAGCCCTGGTCGGGGTCATGTGAGAGGCAACTAATTGATGTGTCTCTCTCACATCAATGTTTCCCTCTCTCTCTCTCTCTCTCTCCCTCCCTCCCATTCTGTCTGAAAATAAATGGACGAATATCTTCAGGTGAAGATTAAAAAAAAAGTTCGCTTGTTTGTTTTTTAATTGATTTCAGAGAGGAAGTGGGGGGGAAAGGGAGAGAGACAGAGAGAAACATTGATCAGCTGCCTCCTGCACTTTCCACTCAGGGAATCAAGACCACAACCCAGGCATGTGCCCTGACCAGGAATCAAACTGGCAACCTCCTGGTACAGGGGACAACACTCAACCAACTGAGCCACATTCTCCAGGCGGCTCCTTCCTTTCTTTTTGTTAATCCTCACTCAAGGATATTTTTTCATCGGTTTTTAGATAAAGTGGAAGGGCCCTGACTGGTTTGGTTCAACAGTTACTGGCCCTTGGACTAATGGGTCATAAATTTGATTCAGGTCAAGGGCACGTACCTGGGTTACAGGTTCGATCTCTGGATCCCCAGCCCTGGTCTGGGAGTGTGCGGGAGGCAACCAGTAGATGTGTCTTTCTCACATCGATGTCTTTCTCTCTCTACTCCTCCCTCCCTTCTACTCTCTCTAAAACTAAATGGAAAAATATTCTTGGGTGAGGATTAACAAACAAAAAAATTAAAAAACAGATAGAGTGGAAGGGAAAGGAAGGGAGAGAGAAACACCGATGTGAAAGAGACACATCAATTGGTTGCCTCCTGCACAACCCCGACCAGGGCCAGGGCTCGAACACACAACCCAGGTACATGCCCTTGACAGGAATCAAACCCTCGACCCTTTGGTCTGAAGGCTAATGCTCTAACTACTGAGACAAACTGACCAGGGCAGCCAACTTCTTCCTTCTTAAAGGTTTTTCAGATTAACTCCAATTCCATCTGTGATCCATACATTTAGTTTTAAATTAAGTTGCTGAGGATTTTTAGCCATTTCACAGGTATATTTTGTGTCTTTCCATTCTGGTCTATTACTATTTCTTTTCTTCCCCAGGTTCCTACTTACCTGTATGTGTGCGTTTGTGCCTCTGCAGCTCATCTGAACGTGTGAAGCGTTTCCCACAGTATGACCAGGTACACATAAATGGCCTCTCGCCTGTGTGCCAGCGCAAGTGTGCCCGTAGGTGTGAGGTCTTGCCATATACTTTGCCACAGCCTTGAATATGGCAAATGTGCTGTTTCTTTTTGCCAGGATCCCCAGAGCCCCTGAAAATGAGAACACAACTATTCATCATTCATTCTAGAGATAAAAATTAAAGAACTGCAAAGTGTCAGCAGCAATTATCCGACCCACTCAAAACTAACCCAGACTTTTTTTTAAAAATGGCTTCTAAAATATAAATCTTTAGTTGATTCTAGTTCTTTTTTTTTTTTTTATATCCTCACCCGAGGACACTTTTTTGCATTTATCCTCAGATATAGTGGGAGGGAGAGAGGGAGGAAGAGAGAGAGAGAAAGATACATCGATGTGAGAGAGACACATCCACTGGTTGCCACCTGCACGACCCCAACTGGGGCTGGGGCCGAGCGGCAACTGAGGCACATGCTCTTAGCAGGAACCGAACCCAAGACTCTCTGGTCCGCAGGCTGACGCTCTAACTACTGAGCCAAACTGGCCAGGGCTGATTCTGGTTCTTAATACCAAAATTCAAGTTGTAGTTTCCTCTCTACTGGACACTTGTCCTTTCTGCTTTTCTGTTCCTTAATCAATTTTGATATTTGATGTTTGAAAAAATAATTATTCTCATGGTGATTTGCGAAGTCTGTGGGGCATTGCCTTGTATTTTTCAAGAAGTTTAAGTCTCAATACAATCATTTTCCACAGGAACTACTGTGAATATGGTAGTATTTTTGGCTAGGAAGTTACTTATGAGCAAAGAGTTTCTCCATTTAAGCACCTAGTTAAGAACTTTTTTCCTAAAATAAAAGTCAAGAGTCAAATAGTGAAGCTTAACAGCTGAAAAACAGAAGCAGACTTCAGTGGAAGAGGAAGATGGATTGAACAAAAGTTAAAAAAGGGAATAAGAACCCTACTAAATCAAGGATTGTAAAGAAGTATTCCCTGTATGGAGCAGATCCTAAGCTCCTCTCAGGAATCAGCTCTGAAACATTTTTGCCAAACCAATTTGTTCCATGTGTGATCCATTAGTAGGCATTGGGGAGATTTCCAAGAGGGATTTTTCTTAGGTTTTAACAGCACATACCAGCAAAAGGAAAAAAATACAATGGAAATGAAATCACACTTAGGTGAAAATCCGAGAAGTTCCTTCAAAAATTTAATTCACCCTGGCTGGTTTGGCTCAGCGATTAGAGCATTGGCCCTCGGACCAGAGAGTCCTGGGTTTGGTTTGTTTCTGGTTGCGATTTGTCTCTGGTTGCGGTTTGTCCCTGGTTGTGGTTTGTCCCCGGCCCCGGTTGGGGTCGTGTGGGTGACAGTCTATGTGTCTCTCTCATATCGATGCTTCTCTCTCTCTTTCTCTCTTCCTCCCTTTCTCCCTCTGACTCTATTTGATGATAAATGCAAAAGAAATGTTCTAGGGTGAGGATTAAAAAAAATTTTTTAATCTACTTTAAGCTTTGATAAAGGCAAATACTACTGTACTCAGTGCTTTTAATTCAATTTTTCCCTGTAATGTAAGGTTAACTTACAAATAACTCAAATTATTTTTTGTTTTGGTACTTATTTTGTGCTTATTTTCACTGGGACAAAACTGTAACAGTTTTTTCCCCCAAAGGCATTTAAGCAACTATGTAACTTCCTTTTCTCTCAAAAGTGGTGACTTGCCCAGCTGGAGTGGCTCAGTTGGTTGAGTGTCTTCCTGTGAACCTAAAGGTCACTGGTTAGATTCCTGGTCAGGATACATGCACAGATTGCAGGCTCGATCCCCAGTAGGGGGCATCCAGGAGACAGCCAATAGATGTTTCTCTCACTCCCTCTCCCTTCCTCTCTCTCTAAAATAATAAAAACATATTAAAAATAAAACAAACAAAAAAACAGTGACTTGATGGGAAAAAAATAGAACTTGGAACTCTCCAGAGATAATATTGACTAGCAGGTACTACTACTGAGAAAATCATCAGAACTTTGTCCTGCAGGACATATTAGAGTCCCTAATAGAAAAAATTTCTATCTGGACTAGCATTTTTATCTATTTTGAGGGAAAATAAGACTCTGGAAAACTTATTCTCACAACCACGATAAAAACACATTAGTGTTGGTATTTTTTTTTTCTTTGCAAGGCTGATTTACAAGCAATCTTATTAAAACTATCTCAAAATAGACATATGGTAACAATCACTCCACCAGCTGGCTCCATCCACTTTCCTTATCTTTAAGAGAAAGCAGGCACCTACTAGGGCCCAAGGTCTTAAAAGCCGATGAAAGGATCAGAGCTGGAACCAAGATTATCTAATCTAATCTAATCTAATCTAATCTAATCTAATCTAATCTAATCTAATCAAATTGTGCCTATCTCGTTACATTGTCAAGTCTTACATGTAAAAACAAAACACAAAAAACCACTCTTCTTACCTCCAAATCTACTAAATTTTTCTTCTAAGACACTGGCTTAGTCTACTTACCTTCCTTCACTGTCTTTACAGTAGGGGCAGGTACATGCTTCCCTCCGGGTCCTCCGACCAGCTTGGGGTTGGGGATCTGGGCTGTTCTCTCCTTCCTCTCCTCCTGCTGTGTCATCATGTATTCCATCACCACCAGCCCCATGGAGGCCAAGCTGAGCTCCATGATCACCTGAAATTAAGAGTAAAGGGTCAAGGTGTAAATTAGGGGACCTCATAACAGCTGCAGGCATCTCAGTGACTACATTTATTATGGAATGATTTCTTCAAGCTTTGAAGTCACATTCACTGGTATCATGAAAATATAGTCAATCTCACTCAATTTTTAAAATGCAACTCTATTTATACTGGACTTTTGTAATTTTTCATCTATGAGATTACAAAAAGTTAAAACTCTAATAATGCACAGCATGGACAAGTGTATGGAGATACACTTTTAAAAATGTATGGGCATTTTTATATATAGGTAGTGACAAATTAGAACAACCCCTTTGAAGTCCAATTTGGCAGTATTATAATTTTTTTTTTTTTTTTTTTGGTACGTGCCCCTAGCGGGAACCGAACCTGGGACTCTCCAGTCCGCAGGACAATGTTCCAACCGCTAAGCCAAACTGGCCAGAGCAATTTAGCAATATTAAAAATTTAAATGCACAGGATCAAAGTAATTCCACTTTGAACCAGCAACGTCCTATAATATACAAATATATGACAACAGTATTTTCTGTAACAGCAAAAAACTGGAAACAATAAAAATGTACACCATTGAAACACTAAATTATAACCTTGTGCAATGGACTACTATATAATCATTAAAAAGAATAAGATAAAGGTATATACTGTTACAGAAAGATATCCAACAAATGTCTTATTCATTCCTAGAGTTAAATTGCTATGGAAGCAATAACATGAAAATTACTAAAAATAAAATTTTAAAGGATTCCAATCTAGAAATCATATAAAACCTCAGAGGGAAAACTTCCTTAAAGGAGCAAAAAATTGTGCTGAATATTAATCAGGGAACAGTACATATAAATTCTGACACAATGAGGAGAGGAAAGAGCTAGTTATACCCAAGGAAAGTTTTGACCTGGGACAGGATCCTTTTGAGAATGCTAGGAAAAAGGAAGACAATATAAAGCATACATTATGTCACTTGGTGTCATTTGCTTTTAAAGAGACAATGTATATGAAAGCGCTAATTTTGTCCTGGATAAATTAAAATAGATAAATGTTACATAGTTCCAGGTTAGTGTTTTTCAAACTTTTAAAACCTGCAACACAGCCCTGGCCAGTTTGGCTCAGCGGTTAGAGCATCGGCCTGTGGTCCGGAGAGACCCGGGTTTGGTTCACGCTAAGGGCGCGTACCTCGGTTGCAGTTTGTCCCCAGCCCTGGTTGGGTTGTGTGGGTGGCAGCCACTCGATGTGTCCCTTTCACGCCTATGTTTCTCTTTCTCTTCCTCTCTCTCCCTCCCTCCCACTCTATCTGAACAAAAAATGGAAAAATGTCCTCAGGTGAGGATTAAAAAAAAACCCTGCAACACAAAGTAAAAAATATATTTTACATTGTGACCTAGTACATATAACTGAAACAAGTTTCATAAACAGTGCTTACTCTTATGATAAACAACGTATTCTTAAATTTTCTAGACTACTTAATTTTTTTCCCCTTAGCTCTATTGATTTTATGAATCATTATGTGATGGTTTACACTTGACATTTTCAAAAAATGCTCTAGGCCAGTGGACAAATGTAACATTTTGAAGGAGCAGATAACAGTCTTCTCAGTTTTCAAAACATATACTATGACTAAGTATTCACCTACTATAAAGCACCTTGTAGAGAAGTTAATGACTCTATCCATATTTAAGATTTCTATAAATGGAGTGTTGAATTGGTCTGCTTTGTTTTATCTATTTTATAAAGAAGAAAACTAAGTAAATGGGGTAAATTGGACTTACCATCTAAAATCTAGGCTCTTGTTTGTACTTCTGTACCTAATCTCTACTCTTTTCAGCTCATAAACATAATTTTGAGTTACTATGCCTAATAATAAGCTCTCCTTGTGCTTCCCTGCTCACTCTACCACTCCTAAGTACCAGCCTATGGCATTAAAATTAATTTAATGTGAATGTTTTTGAGACTTGCATGATACTGGTAGAGCTAAAACTGGGTATTACTGAAGTAGGGTTGAGAACAGGCTCTGGAATAAAACAGACTTTGACATACATTCCTGTGCCACCATTTGGGTAGCTTCTTTTTTTTTTTTGGTACGTGCCCCTAGCGAGAACCGAACCTGGGACTCTTTGATCCACAGGCCGACCTTCTAACTACTGAGCCAAACCCGCCAGGGCTTGAGTAGCTTCTAACAGCGAGCAAGTAACTTCTCTAGTTATGAGTTTTTCCATCAGTAAAATGGGGATGAAATATTATCAATCTCACGAAGCTGTCATGAAAAACAAATTAAATAATACATGTCAGGTGCTTAGCGTATCTGTCACAAAACAAATATTCAACACATTATAGTTAATATTATTAGGAAAATATCTTGTGCAAAAATTCATAGTGAGAAATCATGGACTAAGATATACAAGAGCCCTTGAAACAGCATGGATGAACCTGGAGATTATTATGCTAAGTGAAGTAAACCAGTCAGAGAAAGACAAATATCACATGATCTCATTTATTTGTAGAATCTAATGAACAAAATAAATTGACCAACACAATAAGCCCGGAGACATGGAATAGACAGACATATCTAGGGCATGGATGGGAAGAAATAAACCAAAGAACCTATACTTATATGCATAGGCCATGGACACAGACAACAGTGTGGTGGAGACCTGGGGGTAGGGGTAGGGGATGGGTGGAGGGGGGCAAAATGGGGGACATGTGTAAAACTGTCAATAATTACACACACACACACACACACATATTTTAAATATACAATAGTATTTTGTTTAATCAACCTGCTTTAAAAAATTGTTATTGATTGGAAACTCCCCCTAGTGGGGATGGAGAACCTGTCCTTTGAAATGAGCCCAAACAGCTCACCAGGCAAGACTAGTTAGGATGCTAATTAGCATCACCAATGTTTACCTACCAAAAATTACTTTCAGAATAGAAATTTATAAAACTGTAGATCCAGCTATCTACAATAGATCTTTAGAATCAAGATAAGACAAAACCATAGTTACATATTAAACTAATACAAAGTAATATTTAACATAAACTGTAACTAAAACACACAGAGACAAAACCATGGTGTAGATAAATAAATCATCTTTGATCTAGTTTCTTTTTTTTTTTTTTAATCCTCATCCGAGGATATTTTTCTACTTCAGATAGAGTGAGAGGGAGTAAGAGAGGGGGAGGGATGGGGAGGGAGTGGGGGGGAGAGGGAGAGGGAGAGAGAGAGAACGAACATCAACATAAGAGGGACACATCAACAGATTGCCTCCCCCACGACCCTGACCAGGGCTGGGGATGAACTGCAACTGAGGTACGGGAGCAAAATCCAACCCGGGACTCATTGGTCCTAAAGCCTATGCTCTAAAGGCTGAGCCAAATCAGCCAGGGCTTTGATCTACTTTCCAAGCGAACAATTCAACTCCATTAAAATTAGAGAGCAATTCATTAAGCCCCAAAGTTCTCCCCTATCCCAATCAAATGGAAAGAGGGAAACCTTTTTCCATTTTATTGAAACATAAAAATGCTAATTCAGGACAGGGCATAATTGAGTAGACAGAAACAAAGAAATGCTTAGACATCAGTATTCTTTAAAACCATACGTCTAACCCTCTTTTCAAATGAACAGTCAAAATATGTTTTTATTGATTTTTTTTTGGAGAGAGAGGAAGAGAGAGAAACATTGATGTGACAGAAACATCAATTGGCTACCTCCTGTACACCCCCCACTGCGGACAGAGCCTGTGCCGACTGGGAATCAAACTGGGACCTCTCAGTCCACAGGACAACACTCAGTCCACTGAGCCACACCAGCTAGACAATATTATTTCTTGTTTTAGATCTAGAGTCAGCTATTACTTCAAGTATTCCTAGTTTAATGGGAAATTAGTATTTGGATACTGCAATCTGGTTCTCTAGTCATTTTAGTTATTTAGTGGATTCCACAGGAAAGGATCATGTGAACACTATTTTCTGAACTACATTGTGTAGATGGACTTTATACTTGGAGGTCTATTTATCTGGTTATAAAATTCTTGGTTCATGTTTTGCTACCTTATCTCTTAAATGTTAATCCATTACATTATGACACTAAAACTATCAAAATGTCTAGTGATATTCCATTTTCTTTCCTTTGTAAGTGATTAGGTGGAGGTGTTTTTTTTTTTTACTAGGATAATCAAATAATTTGTTTCCCTCTTAAAATCCACCAGTGTTACTAGACTATGTCTCCTTGTTGGCTATTCTGGGTGGATTTCCCCAGGCACACTTTGGGCAAGTTTTCTGTCCTATGGGTTTCATTTTCTTCATTTAGGATTTTGCTTATATAAATGTTGGTTCTTGCCCAACTGGTGTGGCTCAGTGGTTGAGCACAGACCCATGGACTGAGAGGTCCTGGTTCGAGTCCTGGTCAGGGCACATGCCTGGGTTGTGGGCTTGCTCTCCAGTAAGAGGCGCACAGGAGACAACTGATTGATGGTTCTCACACTGATGTTCCTATCTCTTTCTCCCTCTCCCTTCTTCTCTATCTAAAAATCAATTAAAAATATATTTTAAAAATATATGAATGTTGGTTCTTCTTTGCCTATATTTTATTTTATTTTTTCTCAATCACTTGTACCTCTTTTTTTAATCTTATAAGCTTCCCTCTTTTGCCCAGCCAGTTTGGCTCACTGGTTGAGCATCAACCCATGCACCCTATCAGGGCACATGCCCAGGTTGTGGGCCAAATCCCCAGTGGGGGGTATGCAGGAGGCAGCCAATCAATGTTCTCTCTCATTGATGTTTCTATCTCTCTCTCCCTCTCCCTCTCTCTCTAAAACCAATAAAGAAAAAAATATTAAAAAAAAAAAAAAAGGCTCACCTCTTTGCACTACATATAAAAAATGTAGTTTTAGCCCTGGCCAGTTATGCTCAGTGGTCAGAGCGTCAGCCTGCGGACCAACAAGTCACAGGCTCAATTCTGGTCAAGGGCACATACCTCAGTTG